ACTCTCTGTATTTAGGTCATGTTATTGTATTTTCTCTCCATCAAATTCCATTCATGTGCGGGATTGTTGGAAAAATGGTTTAATATAGGCTTATTTTGGGCCATCTTTAAGCCCAAAATTGAATGGGCCTCAAACGTCTTTTGGGGTGGGTCCGAAAAGGTGATGTGTTCCTTGCTGCGTGGCAAATCACACGGTGAAAACGGTATGCCAAAACCATTTATGAGTGAATGGGAAGTTGACATCGTTTTCCGGGTTCGTGGAATTGAACATTTAAATTTTAAATATGGGTTTCCTTGTGAAGCTTGTCCTACATTGAAACTTTAAAAGATTTTTCTTGAGTATATAAACTCTAGCCTACAACACTTGGGTTGGGTCCCAAGGGGCACCCCAAGTTTGTAGAAGGGAGGAGTTATGGACAAAGTGAACATTAGCCCAAACCACCACATACGCGCGTGCGTCCCTGCCGCCGTCCGTCCGGCCAAGCCGGGTCGGGTCGGTTCTAATATTAATTTTTTGAACAAAAAATCTTTTGAATTTATTTCAAAATTATTACGGGAATTTAATTCCAAATTTGAATTTGAAATTCAAAAAACATTTTGTTCATAATATTGTGCCTCTTTTAGATAAATTCCACAACTATTAAAATAGTTCAAACAGGTCTTATCTGTTGAACCCGAACAGGTTTAATTTTGGACAGATTCAAACTGCTGGGCAGTTATCTGTCCAGAAAACTGCCAACAAATCTATAGCAGTTTAAAACCGAATCTGTTTGTTTTGAGTAGTGCACCTGTTCAGTTTGAATTCATACCTGTTTAGCCCTATAAATACATACCATATTCCAGCATTTTACCAATCCGAAAATCAGTTAGATAAGTATTGTTCTTGCTGTCCAGATTTTATTTGTTTACATTATTCTTCATATTATTTAGAGAAATAATCAGAGAGTTATAGAACACAAGGTTTTAGTTCGCCATACAAATTTGTGTGTAGTGCTACTACAAATTTGTGAAGATCATTGTATCTTAGGAGATAGACGCCACTCAACCCTAAGCACCGTAGCGGGGCGAATCTGTTTTAAGGACAGAGTGTCACACATTCGACTTGGTCTTTTATTTTTCATTTGGTTTGACAAAATAAATTATGTAAGTTTATTATTTTATTTTGTTTGAATTAGTTTGAATTTATTTAATTTACACAGAAGATTGTTCCAATAGAAAGCAAGGAGAAGAAGAAGAGAAGAAAGCAAGGGGAAAAGAAGGCTACAGTGGCTGGAGGTGAGAGGAAGGGTGGTCTTCGGCAAAGGTAGTGGTAGTGATGGTACTGATGGTTGCGGAGGTGAGGCGACAGAGGGGGTGGTGGTCGCAACATGGTGGTGATGTTAGGATTTTTTAGATTTTGGATGTAAGGAAAAGGAAAAGGTTAGGGATGAGAGTAATAAAGGAATTATAAAAATTATAAAATAAAAGAAGAGTGTAAGGAGTTAAAGTAGTGGTATAAGTAGAATTTTCCACATTTAAAACTATATCCAATTTTGGACAAAACAAATTGCTTGAATTCAATTCAACACTTGTGACTTCCAAGCTTTGTACAATGTAAGCGTGTGTACCCCACACGCTTATACTACTGCAAACCTCAAAGCTTCAAAAAATAAAAAAATCCACAGACAATTACATTAGCTAAAAACCCACTAAGAATAAGCAAATTTAGTAGACACATTAACATCAAAGCATTAGCTTAATTAATGTTTTCATTTTCTTGGTAATTGAGATGAAAATGTTGATGATACATATATTCATGAAAATTCAATGAAAATTTTCTGTTTATAGAAAACCTTATCACTTACTAAATAGCTGTCAAAGTATTTTCTGTTAGATTCGCTTTCACGGCCTTGGACAAATTTGATTTGCCTTTGGGCTGGCTATTTTTAAAATTATAACTATTATTTTTTTTAAAAACAAATATCATAAAATTATAAAGTTGTGATTATTAAATCAATTTGATTTTTATATAGATAAGCTACACACACATGAGTTTACAAAATGAACAGTTTAAATTACTTAAATAGAATCAGTGATGGGCCTTACAAATAGGGGTGAGCATGGTTCGATTTGAAAGCAAACCTAAATCGAATTATGAAAACACGGTTCAATTCAGTTTAGAGTCACAATTTTCATGAAGTTTGTCACCATTCACAACATAATCAAATGTTGCTCAAAGATCAAGTAAAATATTATCGTTTCACAAACAAATTGTTTAAATGATTGTTTAGAATTAGTTCTACTATTACATAAACACACACTACAAGAAAAATGGGCTTAAAAGACGGAACTTTTTGCGACGACACATTTGCCGTCGCAAAAAATGACTTTTTGCGACGGCACAGCTTGCCGTCACAAAAAATATGAGTTTTTGAGACAGCACAACTTGCCATCGCAAAAAATTGTGACTTTTTGAGACAACATAGCTTACCGTCGCAAAAAATGTGACCTTTTGAAACGGTACAACTTGCCATCACCGAAAAATGTGACTTTTTGAGACGGCACAGCTTACCGTCACAAAAAATGTGACCTTTTGAGAAGGCACATCTTGCCATCACAAAAAAATGTGACTTTTTGAGACGGCACAACTTGCCGTCGCAAAAAATAGGTATTTACGACGGCATAAAATGCTGTCTCGAAAAATTAGAGTATTTGCGACGACAGAGATTGTTATTGCAAAAAAATAGAGTTTTTGCGACAATACTAGCTGCAGTTGTAAAAAAAAAAGAACAGTTTTTTGCGACCGTAATAGGTACTATTGCACTAAAAAAAAAAGAGTAATATATATATATGTATATATATTGTGGCTTTGAGACGACTTCATATATATATAGTCATAAAATGGTTTAAATAAATGCAATGGTATTTTTCTGTCACAAAAAAAAAAAAAAAAACGACGTCATCTTACTCTTTTGAACATTTTTCTTTTCACCCATTTTTTCATCTTCATATCTCTCTGCCTCTATCTCTGTTTCTCACTCTCTCTCTCTCTCTCTCTCTTTCTCTTTGTGTCTCTCATCAATCTCTCTTCTCTATATCTTCTCTTTATCTCTCTCGCTTATCTCTCTTTGTCTCTCTCTCATTTATCTATTTTCGCTCTTTTTTTCTCTCTTTTTTTCTCTCTCTCTTTTCACTCTTTTTTTCATCTTCCTCTCTCTTTTCTCTTTCTCTCTCTCACTCATCACTCTTCTCTGTCTGTCTGTCTGTCTGTCTATCTGTCTTTCTCTCTCTGTGTGTGTCTCTCACTCATCTATCTCTTCTCTCATCTCTTTTCTCTCCCTGTCTCTTTCGCTCATCTCTCTTCTCTCTATCTCTCTCATCTCTCTTTGTCTCTCTCGCTTATCTCTCTTCTCTCTATCTCTCTCTCTGTCTCTCTCGTTTATCTCTCTTCTTTCTATGTCTCTCTCGCTCATCTCTCTTCTCTCTATCTCTCTGTCTCTCTCGTTCATCTCTCTTCTCTCTCTGTCTCTTTTTCTGTTCTGTCTCTCTCGCTCATCTCTCTTCTCTCTATCTCTCTCATATTTCTCTGTCTCTCTCGCTCATCTCTCTTCTCTCTATCTCTCTCATATTTCTCTGTCTCTCTCGCTCATCTCTCTTCTCTCTATCTCTCTCTATTCTCTTTGTCTCTCTCGCTTATCACTCTTCTTTCTATGTCTGCCTGTTTGTCTCTCTCATTTTCTCTCTGTGTCTCTCGCCCACCTCTCTTCTCTCTCTGTCTCTTTTTCTGTCTGTTTGTCTCTCTTTCTCTCTTCTCTTTCTCTCTTTCTCCCCCATTTTGTTCGCGTTGCTCACTCTCTCCCTCCCGTCTTCTCTATTTACTAAGCTCCCTTTCGATTTATCTATCCACTACAAGAAAATGCACTTTTAGCGACCATTTTGTCTCTCTCTCTCTCTCTCTCTCGCTTATCACTCTGGTCTCTGTTTCTCTCTCTCTCTCTCTCTATCTGTCTCTCACTCATCTCTCTCTCTCACCACACATCTCCTCTACCACCTTCACCACACTGCAAACACCATTCCACTACCACCACTACTACCACTGTCGCCACTTCACCTCTATGACTACCATTACTACTACCATTGCCACCACTCTACTACCACTACTGCCACTACTACTACCATTACCTCTCCTTCACACCTGCCACTCCATCTACTCTACCACTACCACAACTCACCACTAATCTCCTTCGCCACGCCATTACCATCACACCACCACCACCATCATCTCTTATCTACCACCTTTACCACTACTGCCGCTCTCTCTCGTCTACCACAAAAAATTAGTTTATGATTTTTAATAAAAAAAAAAATTAGGCCGTAGAAAAATATTTTTCATTGACCACATAAAATTAACTTTTATTTTAGTGGAAAATATTTTTCATTAAAATATTACTCGTACTCTACCAAATAAAAAATAACTTGTTTCCACTTTTCAAAAAAATTCTACTTTCTTATTTTCCGTATTTTTTTTATTTTTACTGAATTGTTTTAATATTTTAAGCAATTTGTTTTACTTTTTAGACACACCTAACATAAATACACCTAAAAAGTAAAAAAATATAAAAAAATCTTTTAAAAATTCACTAAATACCAAAATATAAAAAAATACAAGAATTTAGTACATTTTTTGTATTTTTATGTATTTATTAATTTTTTAAAATATTTTTTCACAAATTTTTTATTTTTTAAATACATCTAAGTAAGGTGCATCTAAAAAAGTAAAAAAAAAAATTGTTTAAAATTTAAAAAATATTCACTAAAAATAAAAAAATACGAAAACCAAAAAAATCAATTTTCAAAAAGCTTAATCCAAAAAACTCAAAACAAACACACTAAATATTTTTTTCATTAAAATAAAAAAAGAACAAATAAATTTTCAATCTTAGTAACTTAAAAAAAAAAAATTCAAATTCATTACCTACAATACAAAAAAAAGTATATATTTTAACAAAAATTAAATTTTTTTGTTTTTTCATTCCCAATCTCAAACCCAAAAATCCCTAATCTCTTCTTCCCCCCCTCTCTCTGGATCGACGGCGAGCGGCGGCGGATGACTGCGAGCAACAAACGAGGCTGCTGTGTGAATGGAAAGGGCTCCGGAGTGCAAGAGCAGCAGCAGCGTCGTCGTCGTCGGAGCAGCGTCGGCCTCCTCTTCCGCCACCTCAACATCTCTTATGTCGGGCAAAAGCGATGGTTTACTCTTGGTCTCCCTGAGATAGATTTGTGTAATCATGTAGGGTTGGTTGCACTTCCACACTGGGGATAGATGGTTTGTAAATTTTTGGAAGGGAAAGGCCAATGGTGAAGGGCGTTTCTACTCAAATCGTGGTGAAATCTTTTTCGGCCATTTTAAAGATGGATGGCGACATGGCCATTTTCTTTGTATCAATGTTGACGGAGCAAGGTTTGTATTTTTTAGTTTTCACTTTTTCCCTTTTAATTGTTTTTCTGGTTTGTAATTTCCTTGATATACACAAGGTTTGTACCATATAAAGCATAGTCAATATATTGGCAGAGACATGGACATAGCTGTTTTGTTGGCCTGGTAATGCTATTGCATTAGGGGCTGTTCCTTATTTACAATTTAAGTTGGGTTAAATTCCTTCAAATTTGATAAATTATTGTTCATTTGACAAGCTTGCACAGAGTCACAATCCCCATAGTGCCCCAAATTTCTACACTCTGTTGGAATTATGGATACAAATTGTTGATTACCCCTTCTCTCGACTTCGCAAGGACTGTGGTCTTTATTTATATCCGTGCATTTTTATTTGGTTTTGGTCTAAAAAAGCTCTAGAAATGTAAAATATTCTTTTCCAAGTGACAATTTTTAAAAATTTGGACACATTTGTTTTCAGAACTTTTGTGTATTGTGCCATGAAAATTGAAAAATGGAATCTGACAATGTCATCTAACGACCCCTTAATTATCTAATTTTTTTTTTATCAATTTTCAGGGGGTGAATTGGTGTCGTTAGTATGCTCAAACTGATTTTTCAAGTATTAAGTGTATGAATTCATGCCAACTTGTGTGTGCATAATTTTTCATACAAATTGGTGTTTCTGCTTCTTGTAGTATCCGAAGGCAGTCGACCATATTCTTTTAGCGTTTCCTTCTTGTTGATGTTAATGATCTACTAAGGCCCCGTTTGGAAACAGGCTAATTTAGTAATTTTTTGGCTATTTGGCTAAAGTATGAGCTAAAAAAACTAGTATGTTTGGGATGACTTTTTGGCTTTTTACAAAAAGATGTGCAAAAAATAGAGAGAAAAGAGAATCTTTGACTTTTTGGTATGGGTTGTTGGCTTTTTGACTAATTTAGTAATTTTTTGACTTTTTGGCTAAAATGGAGGGTTCCCAAACGAGGCCTAATATCTGAAGTTAAAATAGGAGTCATATCTATAATTTCTCTTCCCTTTGTGCCCCTTTTTAAATTTTATTTTAATATTTTTATAGAACTGACATTAGAAGTAAGTACAGTTTGAGGATGTCTTTGTTTGTCTGTACTGCAGGATTCAACAGGTGGTAAACTAATTGTCGGACTGAGTTAACTAACTACTTATCGCTGACTCCTACTGGTTTCGGCATTGTATATATATAGAAAGGCTTCTGATATTATTCAACATCGATTATGCTTATAATAACCATAAGGCCATATGGCTTGAATGCTTCTACTTCGCTGTAGTTTCTTTTTTTTCTTTTTTGTTTTTGTTAAAGCTTCCACTTTTGAATTTTTAGATTTTAATATATTTTTTCTACTCAGCTTTTCCAATTCTTGTACCATTTATGTCTAACTAACATTTAGTTCCTGTTATGGATCAATCTACTCACACTACAGGTGTCTTGAGATTTGGGATGAAGGTGTTCTTGTAAGCCGTAAGCAGCTAGACTCAGATGATGCTGGAGCTGAATAAACCATTTGTAGCTTGTAATGTTTTGCAAGTTCGTACGTCTTATGCCTGAAAATTTCTTTGAAAAGTATCAGACAAATGTATGTATATATATATATATTGTTGGAATCCACCTACATTGGAAAACCGTTGCCTTTTTTTCATAATGCATTGTTGTACTTGTGTAACTGAGACATGCAAGAACATCGAACATTTACTGGCTGTCTATTCATTAGAGTGGCCAAAGTTGTCAAAGATTATCATTCAGGAAAAGTTGTTTGCACAAATAATAAAATGTGTAATGCTATATACAACAAACTAACAATCTCATAAACTAGTTCTTATTTAATTGAGTTATCCCTATAATACTATTCTAGTGGATCTCATATTAAATGGTTAGTAAGAAATGTTAGTTTGCATAAACCTTTTGATTGGTCACAGAGTCATGAGATTTGCAAAGATGAGATTTGACTACATTTTCCTCTGGTTAGTTTCATCTTGGCAGGGAAAATTTATAACAATTATTGTTAGGGCTCATATATTCAATGTTTGTCTTTTATTAATTTAGTTTATTAAGCTTGAGTTTGTGAAGTGGAAAAATAGAACATACGAGATTTGTGAAAAGTTAAAAAAAAAGAAAAAGGAAAAGGAAATAGATCCAAATACAACGTAAATATATCCTTCAACTTGTAGTTTGCCTACTTCTCATGAACTCTTAGCTCTAGCACACCGTTTATTGAGCCTTTCTTTGTCAATTGGAGATATGCAACCCAAATCTAAAATTCAATTGCCACCATAACCAACACACTAATTTGCGTGCATCTCGAATAGCCATGGGACACTCCTTTTCCAGCAGGTTTCTGTTCCCAGGTCTATGAACTCTCAGCTGTGTTCCTTCATAAGGTCATTTTTCAGATGTTTTGATGCTATCATGTGTGTGTTTAATTGTTGTATGTTCATACTCACTTCCAATTTTTTTGTTTCTCATCAGGACTGGATTATGGAACAGTGGGAAAAGAATTACTACATCAGCTCGATCGCTGGTGCTGTTAATGGGAGTTCCTTGGTTGTTATGTCTAAAGGTTAGTAAAAGAACTGTTTTTATAGAATTCATATAAATAGTTTTCTTTTTTCATATATTTGTTGTTTGCATAAACTTTTATGCTAATTTTATAATTTGCATTTTCTCACCACAAGATAAAGGAAAAAATAGCTGAAAGCATGTGTGCCTTTAAGAAGCAGATATATTACCAACAAGATAAGTTAGTAAAGATGCATATTATTGGGGTGACATTTAAGTTTTAGTTTAGGAGTTTGGCTAGTAAATTTTCAAAATTTGAAAATTGCTATATTTTACTATTTTGATAACTGATTGCGGTAGAGGAGAGAGGATTATTGTTAAATCATAATATCCTTTTTTTTTTCTTTTTTTTTTTTTTTTTGTGTGTGTGTGTGTGTGTGGTAGTTTAGCTAGAGTTTTTTCATGGAGGGCCTATTTGAATTAGGAGTCCTTACAAAGATTGCTTTCTTTAGGTGAATGGCAACATTGGACTTTATTCTCAACGTAGACAGTTTGGGAAGGAGGGTGTTTTTTCTTCCTAATTTGGTGTGTACGTGTAAGAAAGTTGTATTCAGTTGATGATTTATTGCTTCACTGTGAGGCTGCTAGGCCATTTAAATTTGTAAGAAAGTGGTTTTGTTTCTTCAATTTAAGTTCTCGTTTAAACTTGATCTGGACTCACTGATTGATGTTTAAGGCCATTTAAATTTGAAATTATCATTGCGTTCATTAGAAACATTACAAATTGATCCCATCAAACGTGTTGTTGGGGGTTAAAAATCTTCCTCGCTTGTTCTTAGGTCTTTTATTTCATTTTTTTTAATTGTCATCTTATTTAAAGGTCGTATATTAACCTCTATTTGATGAATAAAGGGTTGTTACAACATTAGAAAGAACTATGTTTTTAAGAAGTCTGTTTTGAGTAGTGTATAAAAATTTAATTCTTCCAAAAGAGCATTTGGAGCTTGCTTAACCACAAATTAACATAGTTATGGAACTCCACAAATAAAATACCTATTGTATATAGGTCTAGAGGTTTACATTTTATTGTGTAGCATATAACTCAGTCTAGGATATATCTACACCTTTATGTGTACAAACATAATATATCCGTATATGCCAATTAATTGAAGGATGATGAACTTTTGTAGAGATACTAGAAGGCTAACATTTCTTTGAAGATGTCTATAACTTATTTCCATTGCTTAATTTTTTCAGAAATGCATCTATTCTCATTGTTGATTGAGATGTTTAATTATCCATGTGGGATTTGATGACTAACAAAAAAAAAAATGTTGTATTTGATACTGTTGGGAGCTAGAGCCAGATTTCAGATATAATTTTTATGTATTTTTATATTATTATGCAATTATTACGGAGAAATTTTAATATTTTTAATAATTTTATTGCAGGATGTTTTTTTCTTTTTGTGACGGCACTACACCGTCACAAAAAATAGAAAATTTTAATATTTTTATTGATTTTGTTACAGGTTTTACTTTTTGCGACGGAATTAAATTGTCGCAAAAAATAGAAATTTTATTATATTTAATTTTGGTTTATGTTATTTTGAATTATGAACAAAATCATGTATTTAAACATTATATATGAATTATAGAACATTATGTAGTGGGATAATTTTGTTGATGTGTAATTATGAATGGAAGAATATTTTATTATGGAGAAATTGTTATTTTTATACAGGAATTTTTATATTATTATGCAATTATTATCGAGAAATTTTAATATTTTTAATAATTTTATTGCAGGATGTTTTTTTCTTTTTTGTGACGGCACTACACCGTCGCAAAAAATAAAAAATTTTAATATTTTTATTGATTTTGTTACGGGTTTACTTTTTGTGATGGAACTAAATTGTCGCAAAAAATAGAAATTTTATTATTTAAAATAAAAATTTTCATATTTTTAATACTTTTTGAGACGGCAGTACACTGTCGCAAAAAATAAAAATTTTCATATTTTTAATACTTTTTGCGACGGCATCACACCGGTATTCTTGCCGTTGCAAAAAAAAGACTATCAGCGATGGCATTATTTGTCGTCTCAAATAATATTTTTAGCGACGGTAAAATAGTGCCGTCGCAAAAAGTCCAGAAATTTCAAACATTATTAGCAACTGCAAAGTGCCGTCGCAAAAGGCAAAAGTGTCATTGCAAAACATGCAAAAACTCTTTTGCAATGCCCTTAGTTGCGACCCCTCTCTTGCCGTGGCAAAAAGTCATTTGCAGTCGCAAAAATTTTTTTGCAACGGCATTAGGAGTATTAGCGACGGCATTTTACCGTCGCAAAAAGCTGAAATTTTAGTAGTGACACTTATAAGCAAAAAGTTAACAACTTATAAATATATTTAGAATACTAAAAAGATACTATAGAGGGGTAAAAACTAATTGTTGATCTAACCCCTGAGGTTGCCTTAATTGGAGGAACAATTATAATTAAAGGAGTTAGGGGCAAATCTTAAGAAAAGTGAGTCAACAAAGAGCCGAATGAGATCCAGTCAACTGGATTTGAATGGACCATCTACGATGGAAGTATTTGAGGCAACCGTTTGAGGTAGAACCTACTGTGACCTAAATGACTTGTCGAGGCACCGCCCTGTAGGAAGACCATTTTTGCACCGCCTTCAAGGTACAAATACTTGGGGCCTTCAAGGTACTACTTGTAGCCTCAGGAACTACTATTTAAGGCAAGACTCTCCAAGGTGATAGTAACTTTTGAGGGAGGTCTCCTCTTTGCAAGCAAAGATTGATGCTTGGAGTTTATAACAGACCCCAAAACATTACTAACTTGGCATTGATAGAATGCTCCAAATTTTACTGGTTTGAGCTAATATCAAGCTCCAAAAATGCTCCAAATTTTACTGGTTTGAGCTAATATCAAGCTCCAAAGGTACTAGTATACCACGGGAAGTTAAAATCATAACCCATGCGAAGATAGACGCAAGGTAGCCTGAACATAAATGACTCATTTTCCATTTACCCAGGCTAAAGACCTATCTCAGTCGTACTGGCATGACCAAGGAAGTCCCCTTGGATTTGGTATGAGGCACGTCATGGCTGAGTTTAGGCCTTGTTGTGGCCTACGCCCTGGGAAGCTTTGGAGTTCGTGGTTAGGTGGCTAAGAATAGAGTAGTCATTGAGGTGGATACAGGTATGGCTGATAGTAGGCTATAACTCTTAAGAATGTATATTTTGGGAAACTATATTGAGTAAGGAAGTGTCGCGCGATAGTACCATCGAGGAAGGTACTAAAAACGGCACCTTCAGAGGGTCATACCAAAAACAACACATACCAAGGGACACGTGTCCACCAAAGCCTGGTGGTCAGGACAAGAATATTTCGTGTGATCCTTAGGGACATGTGTCATCACTCTTTTTGAGTACCAAGAAAAGTTTATAAATAGACCCATTTCCTAAGGTTTCAAGAAGAGAATTTTCGGAGTTCTGAGAAGATGCTGCCTATTTTTACTACCACATTCCTCTCCTATATTGCTTGCACTACTATCACCCTTCTACTCACTCTCCAGCCCTCAAATCATTGACCGTTAATATAGTTTTACCTCTTTAAGTGATATTATTATTACTGTTCATTTTGGAACCCTTACAAATACTTAAACGTTTACAATAGACAACAAATTATATATATGTATATACATCTAAATGGTTCGGCTTGATTATAAATCGGAACCATAACTATTAAATCATGGATTGAAACGATTTTTTTTGTCCATTTCATTTCATTTTATTTTCTATAATCATATATTCAAGATCCAAATACAATCCAAATAAATTTTCATTATAAAAGAAAATAAAAATTCTATATTAATCTACCTTTAGAATGGAATAACAATAATAGGAGAACATGGTCAAATTTAACACACAAAGTCAAGCTATACGAAATTTAGGTAACCATGCAACATTTCGGCGAAATTGTCATCTTCTTCCCTAAACTTTACATGACTCTGCAAGAAAATGTTTTTTTAATACTCATTCCTTTAGTCCTCAGCAATTAATTTTGTGTCGTAATCATGTCATGGTTTGAATGTGAGGATATAACACATCACTAAAAATCAATTCAGTAGCCACAAACACTCTACCTACTTAAATGACATAATTGTCTATGTCAAAAACCCATAGACAATAAAATTAATATTTAATATTTTATTAATAAATAATATTTAGTTGATAAAAATAATCAATTAATATTTAAATATAAAAATCTCTATTATTAATTTTTATTATTTGGGGGTCTTTTGACAATGAAGCTTGTCAAATATACATTTGGGAGATGAGTTTGGTATGCATTTGGATGATGAGTTTTAGAAAAAATTGGGAGATGAGTTTTAGAAAAAAATTTCTAAAAAATTGTTTGGTTTGAGTTTTTCTCAAAAAAATTTCAAAATCACTTTCTCTCTCTTATACATCAATCAATCACTTTTTCTCTCACACACATCTACTCAAATTCTCCCAAAATATTAAATCATCCCAAATTTCTAAAAAAACAACTCTCCCAAAATATACAACCAAACAAACCAAAAAAATTTCTAAACTCTCTCCCCAAATTTTTTTCAAAAACAACTCTCCCAAAAACAAACCAAACAAGCCCAAATTCCCACGCACTAACTAAAAATTACAAATATTTCCTTACTAAAAATTTTTCTTCATTAAATTTTTTCCTTCAATTGACTAATAAAAAAAAATTAAAATTATCTAAATACCCTCTAATATCAAAATAAAATTATCACACTACTCTCATTTTTATCTACCATCCACCAAATCTCTCTTCATACATCACTACAATGTTCTCCAACCATCTTTAGCGACACACTAAATATTTATAGATTATAATGATGGTGGTGTTGATTGAGAGTGGGAGAGTGGTTCGATGGTTGGACAATGTGGTATCACTATTTGATAAAAAATAAGGAATAGGAAAGATGAGATAAAAATAAATAAATAAATAAATAAAAATAATCAATTAATATTTAAATATAAAAACCTCTATTATTAATTTTTATTATTTGGGGGTCTTTTGACAATGAAGTTTGTCAAGCATACAGATTCCCACGCACTAACTAAAAATTAAAAATATTACCTTATTAAAATTTTTCCTTCAACTGACTAACAAAAAAATTAAAATTATCCAAATACCCTCTAATATCAAAATAAAATTATCACACTACTCTTATTTTTATCTACCATCCACCAAATCTCTCTTCATACACTACTACAATGTTCTCCAACCATCTTTAGCGACACACTAAATATTTATAGATTATAATGATGGTGGTGTTGATTTAGAGTGGGAGAGTGGTTCGATGGTTGGACAATGTGGTATTACTATTTGATAAAAAATAAGGAATAAGAAAGATGAGATAAAAATAAATAAATAAATAAATAAAATATGTTAATTTCAGAAAGGCTAATATATGTATTTGTGAAAAAAAAAAATTTGTTACTCACATCATACTCTCTGTTAATTTGATTTAACGGTTGATTAACGAAGATGACATTTATTATGTGATTAAATATCTTAAAGGATGTGATGTAATTTATCCAACTTGAAGAGAGAATTTGTATTTTTATAAATCTCAAGTGATATATTTATAATTTATTATTTTATTGGATTTTAAAGTTAGTTCTTTGCTAGATAATAAGGATTTTTTTACTAGCTTTGCATGTTATTGCTAAACTTTAGAAAAGAATGATTTTTTTTTTAATTTTTTAAATGAGGTATTTGACAAAGATCAAATAGGATAAAAATTATTCCTAAATTTGGGTGGCCTCCCCTCACCTAAACTTTTTCATATCAAAAAATAAAAAAATTGTAGACCATGAGAATTTAAAAATATGATGTGTGGTGTGGACTATACTCAAAATGTATCTCATCTACACAATCAATAAAAAAAAAGTTTATTATTAATAATAGAAGTTTTTTATATTTAAATATTAATTATTTATTTTTATTATTTAGAATTTGAAAATTAACTATTGGGTCGCTTGGCCCGTTTGGAAATTTGGCTATTTTAATTGACTTTTTGACTATTTGGCTATTTTAGCCTGACTAAAAAAATTTGTGTTTAGAATGATAGTTATTATTTTTATTTTTATTTTTGTAGTTGATTTAATAATTGTGAGATAAAAAAATAAAATAATTATGATATGAATATGATATTTTATCTTATTAACTATTTTAACCTATTTTATCTTTATTAATTATTTTAGTTAAAAAACAGTCACAAACCTAAGTTCCCAAACAGCACCAATGGTAGGTAGAGCGTTTATGGCTATTAGATGTAATTTTGATTAGGTGTCATCCTCTTTTCCAACAAAAGAATTCCAGAGGTACAAAAAACTCATACATAAATGTATGCATACTTAGCTTTTTTGTGTTAATCGTTGGTATTTTTCTTATCTAATTCTTGATCAAAAAAAAGTTAGAGTTCCACAAGAAGGGTCTCAAAATTTATTAATAATAAGTATGTTTAGTGGAGATTAAATTGATGAAATATAAGGTTCATGAGAAAAATGAATTTAAAATATTAATTATTATTTTCTGAATAAATTATGGATATATAATAAACTAATAAAATTTTAATGGAAAATAATAAAATTTTGTTAGAAAAAATTTTAAAAACAAAAAAAATTTTAGGCCCACCCAAGCTCGATGCCAAGCCCAAGCCCATTGGATCGGCCCGAATACTCCTGGGCTTAATTTTTTGGCTTGTGGGCCGGCCCGGCCAAGCCCAAATTTTGGAGGGAGCCAGCAAGGCCCGATATGGGCCAGCTCAGGCCAGATTTACACCCCTAATTACACTGACATTTTTGAGATTTGATCCAATTATATTTCACTCTTAATGTTCTAGAAATTACATTCTCACCTCTGTGGTTAATAATCTCATTTTACAAACTTCCTGTTTATATAAAAGGCAACAACTCTTAGTAAAAAAAAAAAAGAGAAAATTATATTTAAAAGAAAAATAAAGCAAAGGAAAAAAAAATAAAGTAAAGCAAAGCAAGAAGAGAGAGAGTGCATAAATTCAATGTTTTCATTCCGTCTAAGTAATTATAATGAATAATGACAGGGGAGTTAGTGTAATTTTTTAAATATCATAGAGTAATATATATTAAATTCAAATCTCAGTATAATTTACCTAATATAGAATAATTGGATTGCATAAGTCTGATTGTTTTCATTTTAAAATTGAAGGATGAAATCATGTTTCTTATCATATTTTCTCACCTCTATACACCAATAACTGTCTTACATATATATATATATATATATATATATTAATGTGAGGTACAATGTCTTGTATTTAATAATGAGAAAATGAAATAAAAATAAGATTAGATATTGCATTGCTTTTTTAGTTTTTCTTTTTAAATTTTAGGTGGGACGTATTGCATTATCTTAAATTAAATAATTAGTCAAAATAACTTATATTTAAATAAAAAAATCCCTACTAGATATTTTTATAAAATAAACTTGTATAAACATTAAATAGCAATATAGCAATAGCAATCATGGTGATGTGGATTACAAAAATTAACCATAATGATGATGACGACCATGATGACACATAAGAGAAGTAGTCATATGAGGAAAAGGGTATTCACAAAAATTAAAGAAATGAACTTTAAAAATCAAAATTACATAAACAAATTGGTCCCACTCCCTTTTTCATCTATTCCAAAAATAGGGTATATTTGGTGTAGTTTTCGTGGAAGCTAAAATTAAATAATTATAAAAACAAATTAAAAATCTCTTTCATAAATTTTAAAATTATTTTGGCCTATTAAGTTGTAAATAAAAATCAATAATGCTACAAATGAACTCATTTTTACATCCATAGAGAGAGGGGTGTCGGTTCCACCTCTTCTCCCTTTAATTAGCACTTATACACTTCTGTAAAACATTTATTTTGAGCATTTTATTTTTAATTTTGATAGTCAACCACTTAAGCTATAAGTCGAGTTGCATTTTCATTTTTTCATTCATTTGGTGTTAATAAAATTAGGATAAATTATAAATACACTTTCTGAAGTTTGATTAAAATACGAATCACTCCCTGTGATTTTAGAAATTACATTTCAACTTTTGAAGTTTCTAATTTCGTAACAAATTGTCCTTTTTATTAATAAATCATGAAGTCAATTAACAGTTTTTAAATATATTATAAATATGTTTCAATTAATAATTTAGGTAATTTTATTATTGTATTAGAGAGCAATTATGAATTTTATTTTTTTAGTTAATTCTGTTAAATAAAAAATTCTAACAAGGAGATATTTGTAATTTTCAAAACCACACGGGACAATCTGTACTTTAAGTTGTAATGTGAATTATATGTGAAATTTTTTTCTTACCTTACCACGATACTTATATTTTTATCAAAATCTTATTTTAATACTTCCACTTTTACTAAAATATCACTTTAGTCCATCTATTTTTATTTTTATTAACTTAATTAACAGTAAATGAACGGAAGAAGTCTCCTTACAACTTGATTTCTAGTGTCACAATTAAAAATAGAGTTACAAAAAAAAATAAAAATAAAAACAAAAAATAAAAACAAAGAAGAAGAAGAAGAAGAAGAAGAAGACGACGACGACGAAGAAAGGTGAAACTTATTGTTTTAAGTATGACTTATAAATTAATTTTTTTACATATTATGAAAAGACGTGCAAAATAGTATATGGATAATATAAATAAATTAATAAGCCAATAAAAAACTTATTTATGTGCTCCCAAAAGAGGGTATGTTTGCTTATTTGGTAGGGGGATTTTTTATTTTTTATTTTTTTTGAATAAACTTTTTTTTAAAAGATTCAAAAAAATTTAGGCTAATAAACTTTTTTTTTAAAAATTCAAAAAAATTTAGGCTTCTAGAAGAACTGAATAATTAAAAATATATATATTAAGATTTTAAAAAAGTGTAGAAAAGGCCAAAAAAAAATAGTGAATTTTTTTTGGCTTCTTTTGATTTTTTTTTTAAATTTTTCTTGGAATTAATTTTTTTTTCTTTTTAGATTCTTCTACACAAGATAAATTAGAAAAATTAACATAATTTAAAAAAAAAAAGTTACTGCAGACAAAAAATTCAAAAAAAAATATGATTTTTTTCAAGCCAATAAGCAAACTTTCCAAACACCTTGTTACATAATTGGAGTTGTGGTGCCTGCTGTACACCCAGCACCGCAAACACTGTTGTGTGGCCTTACAGGCTTGTTTTGGAATTTGTTTTGATAATTCGAACTGTTCACATTTTAAAATATATCGAGTTGAACATACCTGTAAGAAATTAAATTAATCAAATATCGTTAAACTTTTTATTTACTCAAAGTAATTACTCTACTTAAGGCACAACAGTATCCCCGAGTTCTACATAATTAACCTATTATCTTTATTCAACTGAAATTACCAAATACAATACCATAAATTTAAACCAAAAAAAAAAAAAATCATATCTAACTCAATAAATTACAGCAAACATATTCATAATACACTTCCAATCTATTGCCCAAAAAAAATAAAATAAAATAAAATATGCATTCATGTCTCCAAACATTCATGAGACATGGAAACAGTCAAGAGAGATCGATTGATTGATTGATTGTTCGAAGTTGTGATGAGTCAAAGCCAAAGAGCTCCAGCATCTTTCAATATGGGAACCAATTCACCTGAAATATGAGTCGGATCACCTGAAATATGAGTCCCCATCAATCTTTCCAACCCACCAAACAGCTTTCCTCCGACGAAAACTGCCGGAAACTGAGCTCCTTTTCCGTCATCGCCGCCGTGAATTCTAGAAAATTCTTCCATCACCGCCGCCTCTTCCTCTTCATCCACCTCCACCACCGGAGGATTGACTCCCAGCCCCAATAGCAACCTCTTCACCACGTGGCACATACAACACCCGCGTCTCCCGAACACTATCACCGCATTCTCCGCCACCAGTTTTTGCACACTCGTTCCTATTTTTATGTGGGAGGTTTGTGGAAGAGAGTCGGCGGCGGCGGCGGCGGTCGTGGTGGTGGGGGAGGCGACGGCGGCGGAGGGTGGAACCCATGTTCTGTACGGAATAGCCTGCTGCATGGTGTATATAGATATAGAGATATAGATTTAGAGAGAGAGAGAGAGAGTTGAAGACAGAGAGAGAGAGAAGGGGAGAGAGAGGAGCATGAGGAAGGGGTGATTTTATGGTTGGTTTTTGGTGGGGTGGGGGGAGACTATAACGTCAACGGCAGTGACGCATTCTTTTACGTCACAGTACTGTTGATGACGTGTGAGTGACGTCAGTTGGGGTTTGGAGTCGGGAGAAGGAGACGTCGTTGCAGGGCGTTCAGATCGATTATTCGGATGGAATCAGTTCCACTTGTACGATTTGATTCAATTCTATTAATAATAGATTCGGTTTCGGTTCAAAAAATAATAAGTACTATAAAAATTGGAATCAGTTCCACTTGTACGATTTGATTCAATTCTATTAATAATAGATTCGGTTTCGGTTCAAAAAATAATAAGTACTATAAAAATAAATCGACTAATAAATTTTATTAAAAATTAGTGAATAATTGGGACTTGGGTGAGTAATCTTAAAAGAATATATATATATATATACACAATATTTAATATTATCATATCAAGTTTTATTTTTATTAATTAATTTTTTATAATTTTAATGATATTAGGATGATATAGATATGTAATGTTGAGTAATGTTTTAATATTATTAGTTTTTATTATGAGCTAAATGTAATTAATTTGAGTAATTATTTTGATAATATTAATAATTTATTCTTATAAATAGAAACTTTTGGAATCGTGAACCAAACCATAACCGAATCATTATTTCGATTTGGTTCTGGTTTGATTTTACAAGTATAATGATTTCGTCTGGTTCTTAAAATCACAGAACTGTTAAGATCAATTTAATTCTTAAATTTTTTCAGAACTGAACCAATCTGAACCATGTACACTCCTGCGTTATTGGTTAATACTCAGGTTGTCGAGCGTGCTTGTGATTGGTGAAATAACAATTATATGATTTTGGCCTATTTAATTGTGAAATAAGTCACTTGGGTTGGTTTGAGAAGTGGGTTCGCTTTTTGATTTTTTGGTTATTTTAACATGGGCTAAAAAGTCTGTTTTTTTTTTTTTTTTTGATCGGGCAAAACAGCAGAACAACTATAAAGACATGGGGGATAAGCACCTAACAAGTCCCATAGGTGGTTGGGCAACCCAATTAGGGGTTAAAACATTACGAAAAAAAGCAGAAGCAACCCAGTGGGCAGCCCTATTACTTTGTTTAGGACACCAACTAAAGACCCACTGTCTATGCGAAGCCAACGATCTAACATCACTGAGCATAGCAAGGCAGTCCCATGGAGGAACCCCCTCAGAGACACAAAGATGAATAACTGATTTGCAATCACTTTCAAACTCCACTGAAACAAGATTGAGAGCAACGGCCATAAGACACGCTTGGCGAATAGCCAACATTTCTCCTTGAGCAACAGATGTCACTCTGACCTTACACATCACTCCATCCACTAGATCTCCCAAGTGGTTCCGAAGAAGAACTGCAACAGCTCCAGTGCCTTGATGTAAATCCACAGTAGCATCACAATTAAATTTCCACGTCCCTCTAGCAGGGGAAACCTACACAGCCCCGCTGTTGTTCACCCATGTGGCTGCAGAAGAGGGAGTTAAGGACACTTGGCAAGCGGCCAAGAACTCGGATTCATCACGCTTTGCCTTCACAATCACTGTTGTAGGGTCAACCAGACAGTGATTGAACAGATGATCATTATGACCTTTCCAAATGGTCCAAGCAACCCAAACCATGGAGCTGATAACTGACTTACCCCAAGCAGAAGCACCCAAAGTTTCGAAGCATTTGCTAAACCAAATTCGAACCGAAGAACTGTCAAGAGCATCGCATCTAAGACCAAGGTCACACCCAAGCCAAACTCTTTTAGCCCAGTCACATTCAAACAAAATATGCTCAATCGATTCAGACGCTTGCAAACACACAGGGTAGCATCCCGAATTTGCACATCGTCTGTTAAAAAGGTTCTGAGAGGTGGCCAGAGCATTGTGATAAATCTTCCAAACAAAATGCTTTAGCTTTGGAGGTAAGTTCAGACTCCAAACAATCTTCCAATCTTTCGGAGACCAAGTCATAGAAGAAGATGGAAAATTAGAGCCCACATGCGCTTGTTTCAATGCTTCTTGGTACCCCGATTTGACCGTATAACAGCCCTTGGAGTCATGGTGCCAAAGAAGAATATCATCTTTATCCTCGACTGAAACTGAAAGAGAGAATAGCTTCACAATCTGATGCAGACACAAGGCTTCTAAGCTTTGGAACATCCCAGACCTTGTAAGACAAATTCATCACCTCATTCACTTTTTGCACCGAAACTCCAGGATGCCTCACTAACTGAACACGAAAGCCCGGAGTATTGGGGATCCATTGGTCTTTCCAGAAGTTGATAGATTTACCATTCAACACCTGCCACCGTAAACCCCCAGAGAGAATGTCTCTACCCTTAAGTAAGCTGAGCCAAGCCCATGATGGTCATGCCCCTCGCGCAACATGTTGAAAATCCGAATAGGGGAAATATATGCCTTTAATCATTTTAGCAAATAAGGAATCTGGGAATTTAAGAAGTCGCCATCCTTGTCGGGCAAGAAGAGCTCGGTTGAAAGCCCGAAAATCTCGAAAGCCCAAGCCACCATTTCGTTTCGTCAAGCACAATTTATGCCAACTGGCCCAATGAATACCTCGCCCCTCTGGATCACCTTTCCACTAGAAGTTCCGAATTTAGGAGCTAAGTTTATCACACAGATTGTTAGGAAACAAGAAACAAGCCATGGCGTAAGTGGGCATTGCCTGGGCGACCGATTTAATGAGGACTTCCCTGCCTGCTTGTGACAGTAATTTCGCCTTCCAACCTTGCAGTTTAGATAAGACTTTCTCACACAAAAAATTAAAAGCTTCGGCCTTAGACCGACCCCAACACGACGGCAGGCCCAAGTATCTAGCATTAGCGTGCATCCGCAGAATACCAAGCAAACCACACACCTCTATCTGTCGAGAGTTAGAGACATTACTTGAGAATTGCACTCCCGACTTATCAAAGACTTGTCAAAATTAACCGACTGGCCCGAGGCTTGACCAAAGACTTTCAGCAAATTGCAGACTTCTTGACACTCCGCACTATTGGCCTTGACAAAGAGCACCGCATCATCCGCAAAAAATAAATGAGTTAACGTTGGGCAGCCCCTTCGGATTCGTAGCCCAGACAAACTCCCACTTTGAGCACTACGAATGATCAACTTCGAAAACACATCCATGACGAGTATAAACAAATAAGGGGATAGAGGGTCCCCTTGGCGAAGACCCCTCCTAGGAGTAAAGCTAGTTCGCGTGGCCCCATTAACGATCACAGAAAAGGAGACCGTCTTAATCAACATGGCCCTAAGAAAGCTCCAATCCACTCGATCGTAAGCTTTATTGAAATCCACTTTAATCGCCATATCCTTCACTTTTCCTTTGCGGATTTTCAATGCGTGGAAAGCCTCATGAACCACAATAATGTTGTCTTGAATCAGCCGGCCAGCCACAAATGCCGACTGATTTTGCGAAACCACAGCACTTAGGAGCCCTTTCAACCGGTTTGCAAGAATCTTGGTGATCACTTTCATGTTGAAATTGCACAAACTGATAGGCCGAAACTACGATAGCTTTTCAGGAGCTGCCACTTTAGGAATAAGAACCAAGTTTGTGTGGTTGAGCTCCCTCAACAAAAAACCCCCCCGAAAGAAGCTTGTCACTGCCGAACACAAAGAGGGCCCCACTATTTCCCAATGCTGGTGATAGAAATACCTGGGGAATCCGTCCGGTCCGGGAGCTTTCAATGAGCCAAGTTGAAACGCTGCTGTTTTAATCTCCTCATCCGATACAGCTCTAGTCAACAGCATGTTCATATCATCTGAGATAACTCTGTGAACCACCTCAAGTGCTGCAGTCATATCACCTCCATCCCGGCCCGAAAAAAGAGTCGAGAAATAATTGAACAAATGAGAATTAATGTCCGACTCTGACGTTAGCTGACTGCCATCATCACATTTTCAGGTGCAAGATCTGGTTTCTTTGGCGGTGTTGATTAAGTGTAGCATGAAAGAAAGCGGAATTTCTGTCTCCAAAGCTGAGCCAGCGCACCCTGGAACGCTGATGTAAGTACATCTCTTCCCTCTGCATGGCCAAATCTAACTCTCGGGACAAAAGCTGATATTGCACTGCATTTGCCTTGGTGCAAGGTAGACTTTGAAGGTGAGCAATCTGTCTCCTTAGTTTCTCAATGGTCCTCCTCCCATTACCAAATTCCTTAGCACTCCAGGTCCAAAGCCTCCTTTGACTCCTTTTTAACTTGTGGACAAGTTGAAACATCTGAAAGCCCGACACATCTTGGTCCCACCCTGCTTGAATGGTAGCCGTACAAGCTGGACTAGTGGTCCAAAAAGTTTCAAACTTAAATTGTTTTGGCACCCGAGCAAGAGGGACACAACAATTAACGACCAAGGAACAACGATCCGAACCGAAGCAAATTTCATGAAAGACCTGGGCTGACGGAAAGAGGTCCCTCCAAGCCATCGTCGCCAAAACTCGATCCAATCTTTCTCGAATATTAGCCACACCCCCCTGGTTATTGGACCAAGTAAAAGCATTTCCTTTGAAACCCAAATCAGTCAGATTACAACCCGAAACCATCTCTTGAAACTCACTAAGCTGAGAAGAATGACACGCCCGGCCACCTTGCTTTTCCAAAATAGAACCCACTTGATTGAAGTCACCAATGTAGAGCCAAGGATAATGCTGCTCCCGAGCCATATCTCGTAAAAAATGCCAAAAGGCCCTCCTCTCCCTTTTACGAGGGGGGGCGTAAATAAATGAGGCAGCCCACCTCCTTCCTGCATTTGCCGAAACAGTACATCGCAGAATGTTAACTGATTTTGACCGGACATCCAGCACAATCCCATCCATCCACCAAAGAGCAAGTCCTCCGGAGGTACCGATAAGATCAACATAACAACTATGCTAAAAATTAAGGCTTCGCCTGATCCGTTCCAGTTTAGCACTCTTATTCTTTGTCTCCATTAAAAAGATC